AAAAAAATCAAGCCAATAAAGCAAAACTTCAGGACAAATGTCAACATATAAACGAAGGAAATTCATCTCAAGGTAAACAGAGTTTATTGAAGGAGATCTACACGGATCTGTACATGACAGAGGGTGGAAGTGGAGAGATAAATAACGAACATGAGGTGTTGAGGAATGAACTGATTTCACAAAGCAGAACCACTCCAGAAAGTCCTCTCACATGTAATGACATCTTCAAAACGCTGACAGGACAAAGCAAACAAATCAGAACAGTCCTGACGATGGGTATATTTGGTATTGGAAAGCACGTGTCGGTGCAGAGGTTCATTCTAGACTGGGCGGATGGAAAAGCAAACCAAGATATCAACGTCATCATCTATCTAAAATTCCGTGAGCTCAACCAGAAAAAGGGGAGCTGCAGTCTTCTACAGCTTATTCAGCAATATGCTCCTGAGCTGAAAGAAGCAGATCTTCAAGAAATGAAAGTGCTTTTTATTTTAGATGGCTTAGAGGTCTGTCAGTATCCTCTTGATTTCCATAATAATGACTTCTGCTCTGATATAAATCAGAACGTTCCTGTGGATGTGCTGCTTACAAACCTCATCAAGGGGAATCTGCTTCCCTCTGCTCTCCTCTGGATAACCACAAGACCATCAACAGCCAGTCGTATCCCTCCTGAGTGTGTCCATCGGGTCACAGAGATTCAAGGGTTTAATGATCATCAAAAGGAAACATACTTCAGGAAGAAAATCAGTGATCAGAACCTAGCAAATGAAATCATCACACACATCAAATCATGTCGGAGCCTCTACATCATGTGCCACATGCCCATCTTCTGCTGGATTTCTGCCACTGTGCTAGAAAATATGATGAGTAATGGAAACTCTGATCAGATACCCAGAACTCTGACTGAGATGTTCACTCGCTTCCTGCTCATTCAGATCAGCATCAAGCATAAGAAGTTTAATGGAGCTGATGTTGATAATCCAGAGAAACTGTCTGAATTTGACAAAACATTGATTCTGAAACTAGGAGAACTGGCTTTCCAGCAACTGGAGAAGGGCAATTTGATTTTTCAAGAAGAGGATCTGATAAAGAGTGGCTTAGATGGCGGTAAAGTCACAGAGTACTCAGTGTGCACAGAGATGTTCAGAGAAGAGCTGGGATTGTACAGGGAGAAGGTCTACAGCTTTGTGCATGTGAGCTACCAGGAGTATCTGGCAGCGATATATGCTCACTTTGCATGTGTCAATCATGGGAAAAATGTTCTTGACATAAATGGATCAACGGATCTTTCTGATGTCCATCAGAGTGCACTGAATAAAGCTTTGAAGAGTGAAAATGGACATCTTGACCTCTTCCTTCGCTTCCTTTTTGGTCTTTCTGTTGACCCTAACCGTACTCTCCTGAAAGACCTTCTCACCAAAGACAGTTCAAGTAAACCCTGTGTAGACAAAAACATGACAGTGCATTTCATCCGAGACAAGATCAAACAGGAACAATCACCAGAGAGAATCATCAATCTGTTCCACTGTTTAAATGAGCTGAATGACAACACTCTTGTTAAAGAAATCCAGACTGCCATGAAATCAGGAACGCTCTTGGGTAGCGAGCTGGAGCCCGAGCAGTGGTCAGCACTGGCTTATGTCTTGCTGAAATCTGGAGAGCAATTAGATGAGTTTGACATGAAGAAATTTCACACATCAACAGCAAACCAGCTCAGACTGCTGCCGGTGCTCAGGATCTGCAAAAGGGCCAGGTCAGTTCATTAATTGTTTATAATATATACACTGCTATACCTCCAGATATTTTGGGAACCTTGTTTTCTCTACAAGCCCATTAAAAGTGTTATTTAAACAAAATTTAGACAAGTGAACTGAGACTTCCTTTTCCACATTTAAGGAACAATATGAATGGATTGTCTGAATAACCTTATTCACTGAGCATTAAATCAAACAAACAAAAATCAATAACACAAAATGTATTCTCGTCTACAGATTGGATTGTTGCGATCTTTCAGTTGAGTCCTGTAGAATAGTAGCATCAGCGTTGCAGTCAGTCAATTCACCCTTGAGAGAGCTGGATCTGAGCAACAATAAACTAGACAAGTCTGCAGTGAACGTCCTCTTGACTGGTCTAACAGATCCACATTGCCAATTGGAAATAATCAGGTAAGTAGTGTAAGTAGTCATTTCTTGCACAGACTAATTTTTGCTTCATTAATATGTTTTAGACATGAAGAAGGACTACTTTGATCAAAATGTGTAAAATTATGTACTACAAGGAAGGGGTGTTTCCTTTTAGTAGACAAAGAAGGCAGTGGGAATATTACAAAATTGCATTGTTCTGACCAGCCATAGATACAGTAAGTAACTTGTATAAACCAAAAGTGATAGATTTGACCACTGATTTTTTTTTCTTGTGCCTTCACAGTAGAACTGCAATTGTAAAAAAAAAAAAAAAAAGATTAGACAAAACCACAAGTAAATGGTTACTGCTCATTGATTAGTTGCTGTATCTGCTTTCTGTTTCTGCATCTCAGTCTGGCTGGCTGTAATTTTCCATCAGCATTCTGTTCAAATTTGGTCTCAGCTATCCAATCAGCAAACTCACACCTGGGAAGACTGGATCTGAGTTACAATAAGATAAGTGCTACTGGAATGAATAAGCTCTGTGATGGACTAATTAGTCCATACTGTAGACTTAAGAAACTCAAGTAAGTATGGGCTTGTTGGTAAGAGCGTTTAGATTTGTCATTGGCTAAGTTGGTATGTGATGTAATCAGCCTCTTTCAACAGGTTAAAGCGGTGTGTTCTCACAAAGACAAGCTGTTTATATCTAGTAACAGTTCTGAAATCTAACTCACACTTGAGGGAGCTGGAGCTGAAAAGCAATGATCTGCAGGATTCAGGAGTGAAGCAACTCTCAATAGGACTACAGGATCCACAATGCAAATTAGAGATACTGGGGTAAATTATGACAATTACTGTATTATAATATTAGCAGAAAATATAATCTGTAGTTATTCTATTAGAGGTTCTTGCATGTATCAATATTACTTTTGTTCATACCTAAGGTTAGAGAATGGAAAAATCCTTAAGCGTTAAGCATGAACTACGCATCTTGTTGATAAAAGGTGTGCTGTTTCTAAACGACCTGACTTACAATGAAACAGGCAAAGACGCAGACTGCACTGACAAGTCACACAGTTCTAACTAATTAGCCGGAACATGCAAGCAACCAGTGAAGAAATAAAAAACACTCAAAACACCTTTGCAACTGCATAAAACACTGTCAACCACTTACAACACCAAAGCATCATGGTGGCAAATTTTGCATTGGGACTGTGTGGTAAGGTGTAAAACACATTTGACAGAGTGATTTGTAATGATCGAAAAAGTACTTGGGTTCATTTTGGAGTCTGGTTTTTATTGTAACTTTGGAATCAGTTGCTCTAGAACAGAGTTTCCAGATCCAGGTCCTGGAGTGCTCCCCAACTCTGCACATTCTGTAATAAAACACACGATCCAACTCATCAGCATGTTAGTAGAGAATCCAAGACCTGAAATGGTTGTGTCAGGTGAGAGAGACATCCACAATCCTGTTGGGAACTGCTGCTCTAAAAACACTCTTCTTTTTAACATTACCTACAGACTGTCGGGGTGTATGATCACAGAGGTGGGCTGCAGATCACTGGCCTCAGCTCTCACCTCAAACACTGGTCATCTGAGAGAACTGGATCTGAGCTACAACCACCCTGGAGACTTAGGAGTGAAACTGCTCTATGCTAAAAAAGATGATCCAAGCTGTAAACTGGAGACACTACAGTATGTGCTTATTTTGATGTACATAATATTACATGTAGGGATTTTGACATTATAGTTTGACACTATGATCATATTTGTTCTGCTCATTATCTTTATAGATAAGTTTCTACATTATTGCAAGCTTTATTTTAAATGCTGCTCTTTTAGCAGTTCTTTGTATTTTAAATCTCAGTGTGTTTGCTTTCCCTCAGTGTTGAGAAAGGAGGAGAATTTCGGATGAAACCAGGTCTGAGAAAATGTAGGTATTTTATGCAAAGGCACTAAATAGAACTTTAAATTTAATTTCAAAACATATAATCAACTTTTATATGGGAAAAGAAACTCCTCTGTTTTTAATGTCAGCTGATGTGTTAGTCAGGTGACGCCTATGACATGTAAGGGCATAACTGCATTTCAGCCAATCACATTCAGATCTGCCTCCATTTCAGTATACAGTGCTCACATTTCACAATCCAGTAATAAAGAGTGTGGATAAAATCAAGTCTCAACCTATGTTTTTTTTCTTTTTTGATAGTCATTTTAATTAGAATAACATCACAATATGGAAGCAAATTTAAATAACCAGTGAAAACAAATGCCCTGTTTTCTGCAGATGTCTGTCAGCTCACAGTGGATCTAAACACAGTACATCCACGCCTAAAACTTTCTAATGGAAACCAGAAAATAACCGAAACTAGAGTGGAGCAGAAATATCCTGATCATCCGGACAGGTTCAAGCTGTATCCCCAGGCCATGTGCAGAGAGGCTCTGACTGATCGCTGTTACTTTGAGGTGGAGTGTGATGGTGGAGTTGGAGTGGGAGTGGCCTATAAGACTCCAGATAGAAAAGCGAATATAATGGGAGTTAATAACCCGTTCCCTGCTCTGCTCTGTCAGGATGGCAAACTGAAACTGTGGCAGGATAATGATATTACTTGTGAGTTCCCTGTGTATGCTCGGTCTAGAAGAGTAGGAGTTTATGTGGACTTGGAACATGGAAGTTTATCATATTACAGCATTCGTAATGACAGCCTCACTCACCTGCACACGCACCACACTACTTTCAAAGACTGCTTATATACAGGGTTTACTTTTCTGCCTGACTCCTCAGTGACTCTGTGTGAGATGGCATAGACCCCGAGAGTGAGCAGATATTTCAAAAGGAAGTTAGACATTTTGTATGTCTATACAGGTGCATCTCAATAAATTAGAATGTCGTGGAAAAGTTCATTTATTTCAGTAATTCAACTCAAATTGTGAAACTCGTGTATTAAATAAATTCAATGCACACAGACTGAAGTAGGTTAAGTCTTTGGTTCTTTTAATTGTGATGATTTTGGCTCACATTTAACAAAAACCCACCAATTAACTATCTCAACAAATTAGAATACTTATTAAGACCAATAAAAAAAACATTTTTAGATATAGTCATTTCTCCTACTTTTCCAGATTCAGGAACAGCTGATTAAATGCAAATAATTAAATGTGTAATAAAAATGTAATTCATCTTTTACAGATTTTAGCCAATAAAATGTTATGATCATTAAATATTTTTCCCGTCATGCCAGTATTCAATATTTTATGTTTCTCAAAGCAGTGGGTAGCCAGCCACATGACTTGTGGCACCTGTATAGTGATGTTCATTTCTCTTGGACAGAATTAGACACCAGTATTAGACACCTTGGAAGTGAGATTCTGGTTTGGCTGGGGATGGCATAATGCAACCAAGTCAGTTCAAGGTGCAGAAAAAAAACCAAAACTGCAATTCGCAATACCTAGCTGGATGGTTCCAGGAAGTCTTTACTACCTGATCTACTTATTTATGAAACCTGCCACCCGCAAAATGACGGCCCGTAGCGAGCAACACCTGAAGCGAGACACAGCTAGAGCATGACACCTGCTGAGCTGCATAATGTGTAATCCATACAAATACATCATGAGTTTAAAATAACCTGATTTCTCCCAATGAATGGCCCTTGTGCACCTCAAACACAGGGCTGGAAGAGCTTCCTCAGTATGGGGCAGAGCAGACGTATTAAACCAGCCCTGCATTCAGCCTGCGGAAAAACAGAGTATTTCCCCTGTGAATTAAGTGTGTTTGGTATCCTTACGACACACCTACCTTCACGCTGTCAGCACAGGATGAGGCACAGACTGACAATACGGAGCCGAGCAGGCTGCAATCTTGTAAGGGTTCAGCTTGGGTAGCAGCCTGGTGTGTGTGAAATGTAAACAGCAACACAATTACTTACACCAGGACACTCCATTTCCTCACAGATGCTGGACTGTGGAAAGGGGCATTCAGGCTGGACTTTCCCTTTATCTGTAGGGATGATGCTTTGGCATGCCACTTACTGGCTCTACAGATATCCTCTGGAGAAAGATTACAGAAGACAGCCTGCTTTGTTGCAGCATTCTTGGCTGCTAAATGCTCCGGTTACCATTGGTCACTTCTGTACACTCCTAAAAATAAAGGGTCTTTATTGGCATTGATGGTTCCATGAAGAACCTTTAACATCCAGATAAACTTTCCATTGCACAAAGGGTTCAGTATAGTGGAGAAAGGTTCTTTAGATTATTAAAATGTTCTTCACACTTGGTTAAAAGTTTCAGGAATCACATCTGCATATAAATCTGGGAATCACCCTCGAAATTGCAATGATTAACATAGTGATAATCATAGCAATGGACGGGACAAAGATCTGTTCACTGAAATTATCTTTGAGGAAACAAACATGGTTCCTCTATGGCATCACTGCTAAAACTCCCTTTGGAAGATTGTACATTGTCTCAATTTATACTAGATTTGCATTTTGTGAAGTTCTTGTAAGGCAGCAGAAGAAGAGTGTTCAATCCTGAATAAATGAAATGCCATATCAGTTCTGCTTCTCTGTGCATGGGAATGTTAACACAGATGTAATAAAGAAAAGACAATGCCAATATGGAAATATATGCATGGAAAAAGATTGGTGTTAATGACAATACTGATAACGTCAATGTCATCACTAGATCCTGTGGTTAGATTTTGAATAGTGAGCACACAGTTTGAGTCAATCAATGCAATAGTTTACAACTTTAACCCTTTCCTAATCCTAACCCACTCCATTGTAGAGTGTTTATTAAAGACACAAATAGATAACATTCCTAAAATACAATCATCTACAAAACAGAGATTTTAAATATAGTCTGTACATTCAGTGGAATTAATTAATGCACAATTTTATAATTAAAGTCAGAGCTTTAGAGCGAACCCTGAGGAGAATGACTGAAGATAATAAAGCGCTGTCGCTCAAGCACAGTAATGGCCAGCCGTCATATGATGATCAGACATGCTGTTTTTCTTCACCAAGTTACCGTATCTCCTCATGCAAAGTCCAAGGTTATCCAAAAACCCTTTCTCTACAATCCTTCATATATTTTCTCACGGCCCCCAGTGGTTTACTGATGTTAACTAGTCAAACTGACAACACGATTAATAAATAAAAGCTCTGACACTACACGACTGATTCTGAAGGAGGCTGTATCTCACACACTTCAGACACCGTCAGGAGATCAGCGTATAACAGTGACGGCAGCCCTCGGTAGGAGTCACAACTGGGTTCTTGTAATACTCAGCTGACGGGTTGGATTTGGTGGAACATTCCAAGTATAGATATTGCATGCTTCTGTGTTTCATATTTTAGCAACACATTTTAATAGAGAGGCCAAATTTCTATAGAGTAGCTCCAAGTCTTTATTTCAACTAAATAAAATGTATAACTGTATAATGTGTAATAATACTAGATTGTTGTTGAATGGTTTATATGAACTGTGTGTGAGTGTCTACTGTATATACCATACACACATACATGCATACATACATACATTATACATACAATAATGCTTAATGTTTAAATTAACATTAGGAAGCCATCTTGATTTAATAATTTGTATTACTTTCCAACTCATCAAAATTTGTAAACAAATTCAGCATTCAGAAGCTGCAGTAAAAGAGTTCCTGCTAAATGTTTTATTCCAGCTGAATATTTGGGGCCAAATTTACTAAACAGGGCAAATCAGTGTGAGAGCGCAATTTCAAAAGAGTGCTAATGGGAGTGGAAATTTCTGTGTATGATTTACTGACAATGTGCACATTAAAGAACACAGATGCAGCCAGATCATTTCCATAATGACCAACACAATCTACCAAGAGCAGCGCAAATTAGCGTCTGCTTTAGGTCATGCTTTTTGGAGCATTAAACAATGGCACAAATACCAGTAATTTGACGAGCGCAAACGTTAGTTAATTGCATTGCGAGATTCATTTTAATACACTCTTCCCATAAAATTTGCATCTGAAAGAGAAGCTCATACAAATGCATATTCAATAAGGTAAGGCACAAAAATGTGTCTACACTGTGTCTACACCTTTTCAGCGCTAATTCTTCACTGGGCGCCTTTAGTAAATCCTGACTACTATTTTAACGGCAAAAGACCATTTGCGCTGATGCAAGATGTTAGTAAATCTGGCCCATAATTTATTCAAGCACATTTACACTACAAGTCTGCAGTGTTGTCCCCCAATATATTAGGATATACAGAACTTGGATCGATACACACACACACACTTACTCTGTTTGTGAGAAAATTTAGACATATCCACTAATATCAACATGGTGGATAAATGCAATGTTTGTAATGGGGTTTAGGAATCCAAAGTTTGTTAAATATGCTGTGAAACAAAGTTCTGATGACAGAGTATAATTAAGTAGTACGACGGTCCCAAATTCTTTAAATGTTCATCTAGTTTGAACTTTTTAATCAGTCTTGGCTAAATAACACTTGCTAGGAGCTGTTTTTCTGTGTGGTGAGCTAATAAAATATTTTAACTCAAAGATCAATTGTTTGTGTCCAATTATTCACTTATGTGGGAAGTAGCTGTGTAATAAGCAGGGTAATATAGAGTACATAGAGTTGGTCATTATCACAAAATAAACCCCTCCAGGGTGATACAAGACTGATATGGAGAACCGCATCATTCTCATAATGATTGGTTATAAATGCAGTAAGCAGCACATTTCATGTTTATGCTTGTTTCGTTGCCATGTTATTCTGAATACATTTTTGAGGAGACTCTTGTCACGGCACTCTTGTCTCCTGTGATGGACTACCACTGCATTCCTATTTTAGGGTAACCCGTTCTCACTGCCAGGGCATCAAACTGCCATATGTCCATATGAAATGTGTCATTGCATGGATGTCAAAAGCGTCACGTTTGGAACCCACTGTTTCAATGAGAAACGGTGATAACGGGCAGATGTACATTCAGTGGAATTAATTAATGCACAATTTTATAATTAAAGTCAGAGCTTTAGAGCGAACCCTGAGGAGAATGACTGAAGATAATAAAGCGCTGTCGCTCAAACACAGTAATGGCCAGCCGTCATATGATGATCAGACATGCTGTTTTTCTTCACCAAGTTACCGTATCTCCTCATGCAAAGTCCAAGGTTATCCAAAAACCCTTTCTCTACAATCCTTCATATATTTTCTCACGGCCCCCAGTGGTTTACTGATGTTAACTAGTCAAACTGACAACACGATTAATAAATAAAAGCTCTGACACTACACGACTGATTCTGAAGGAGGCTGTATCTCACACACTTCAGACACCGTCAGGAGATCAGCGTATAACAGTGACGGCAGCCCTCGGTAGGAGTCACACGTGAACCTTCATCGCTGTACTTTAATCTGCATCCAGAGGTGGAAGGAGCTTGCACTTTAAGCAATGAGACTCATTAATCTGGCCTCTTTCGGCTCCTCCTGGAGACATTCCAGGGACAGTGAGTTATGGCCTGCTCCAGAGCCGAGGAGGGAAGCCTGCTGTCTTACCGGTGGAAACGTCACCTTCAGACTATTGATCAGCACAGAGGACACTGAGAGCACCAGGCTCATGGGAACCGACGATCAAAACAAAACACCACATAAATTAGAATGGAGCATTCTTTAACTATCTCTCTCCATGAAAGCCTGTCTTAATATTAAAGGTACAGTATTATTATATAATGCTTAAAGAGTGCATTGATTAGTTGCATGAAACCTGATATCTTTATACAGGTATTTATATTTGATTACACATAAATTACTTGTTTAGCATCGGTGTATCAGGGAGACTGGGGCTAGTCGTCACACAGGGCTGTATCTCAGTGTTTTTGTGTGTGTGTGTTGATTTCAAGTTTCTAGATATTACTGTTTGTGAATTTA